TCCATAGACAACAGTTTGTTTTCCCCCAGTTTGAAGTTCGTATTATGTAACCTAGATGTCGCCCACTTCGTGAATCTCGCGAATAAGATCTTCAATTCAATTTAGCAATATAAATTATCTACATTCATCTTCGCGAGAAAAAGCCATCATTATGTGCTGGTAATTGTTTCCGAGTGACACGCCCTTCAACTCATCATTGGCAGTAGGAAAAATTTAAAACGACATCACAGGGAACTTTTTTTAAGTCTTTACTCAAAATAGTATTTTTCTATAAACGTCAAAAAATGACAAGGTTCGCGCATCCATAACAATTTGCGAAGTGACTTTTTCTACAAACGTCAAAAAATGACAAGGTTCGCGCATTGATAACAAATTGCGAAGTGACACTTTTTTTCAGTTTCCTACGTTACCATGATACCTTGCACAAAACAATGCGCGAAGTAAAACAGTGCGCGAAGTACCTACTTCGCGCATTGTTATGTAAAATATATGAGATATTTATATTTCAACTTTATGGTCCTCAATCGAGCAAACATCTACGAAATCATATATTTTTGAATGTTCAACAATAAATTTGTTTTATCTCTTGGAGCGCATGAAAGGAAATTTCTATTATGTTCGTGGAACATCGTGCGTATCTAGGGAGGGTAGGGGGAGGCCTTTTAAGCCAGTTAAACACTATTTTTTATATCAAGCCAAGCATATTTTCACTTTAGAACTATATTTTTTGACGTTTGTAGAAAAAAATTTGTTTGCAACTCGAGCGCGAAATGCTCTGGTCATCTCGACTATTTTTTTAACTCGGCTACGCCTTGTTAAAAAAATCAGATCTCGATCACCAAAGTAGCATTTCGCGCTCTAGATACAAAAATAACTATTTTCTACAAACGTCAAAAAATGACAAGGTTCGCGCATTGATAACAAATTGCGAAGTGACACTTTTTTTCAGTTTCCTACGTTACAATGATTCCTTGCACAAAACAATGCGCGAGGTAAAACAGTGCGCGAAGTACCTACTTCGCGCACTGTTATGTAAAATATATGAGATATTTATATTTCAACTTAATGATCCACAATCCAGCAAACATCCACGAAATCATTTATTACTGAATGTTCAACCATACCTTTGTTTTATCTCTTGGAGCGCACGAAAGAAAATTCCTATTAATGTTCATGGAACATCGTGCGTACCTAGGGAGGATAGAGGGAGGCTTTCAAGGCCAGTTCAACACTATTTTTTATATCAAGCTAAGCATATTTTTACTTTAGAACTATATTTTTTGACGTTTGTAGAAAAAATGTTGTTTGCAACTCGAGCGCGAAATACTTCGGTCATCTCGACTATTTTTTCAACTCGGCTACGCCTCGTTAAAAAAATCAGATCTCGATCACCAAAGTAGCATTTCGCGCTCTAGATACAAAAATAACTATTTTTTTCATTTTCTTACGTTACCACGACACCATGTGCGATCGAAACAGTGCGCGAAGTACATAATTCGCAGCGGAGGAAAAGTAACTTTTGAACCATGAACAATTGAATGACCACTTATACGGTTAGTTTGATTGGAAACGACCGGTGGTATTTTATAACGTGTCATACGATTCGACATTACATGACAAAATCAGACATTCGTTGTCGGCAAAAAATCGATTTTCAAACACGGATTCACCCCACTAAATATGGGTGTTTGTTATTATTTTATGTAGGTATTTTGTTTGGATGTTTTGAAAATACTGAGGGTATTCGATTTGCTACAGTGTTGGCAAAATTATCCAAAAATAGTACAATGACCATGATGAATCATATTTATAAATTTTTATTATCGACTAACTCAAAGTATTGACATCATGTATTAGACATGTAGGTATTTATATAGTGTATTCACAAGTTTCTATGAGGCCACATTTGATAAAGAGTTGCAATATTATAATTGTTCACTGAAAAATTTCGAATAAAAGTACTTTAATAAATACATTGTGAATGGGAATAGAAAATTCGGATTTGTGTGTATCTAAGATCTTATTTTTTGTTCAGATTTTTGGATATGTTATATGTATATATTATGTTTATAATTAAATTTGTTTTTGTTGAACTACAACCACTGGCCAGTTTTTTTATATCATTCTGTGTTCTCCTCTAACTTGTACAGGGTAGGTCACGACGAACTTACACCAAAGATTAATGAATTCTATATATATATATAGTTTATCTTCTGTAGTCTATGCTTACACAATCTTTATATCGAGAATCAGCAGCAAGAAATTTATAAAAATGTGCATGCTTATATTTTTGACAATGCTGTGTTGCCGCTTCAACTAGAATGTTGCAACAACTTTGTAATTTCGAATACCCTGTGTGCCATTGCATTTTTAGATTCTCCCTGAAGAACTGATCTCATCAATATATCACACTTGAGCAGCGGGAATGATTACAGAGATATAGAGCTTTCAAAATCGAGATTTTTCAACTTTAGGATTTTCTCTATCGAAACTATTCATTATTGGTCGAAACGGCTCACATGTCTATATCTTAACTTTTGATCAACTATCGACTGACATTTAATTGGAACAAATACAGGATGGTTCGATATTCAGAATTCTGATCACCCTGTATATGTCCCAATTAAATGCCAGTTGATAGTAAATCAGATAGGATAGATAGGGACATGTGCGCCGTTTTGATCAATATTAAATAGTTTCGGCACAAAACGATCCTGAAATTGAAAAATCTTGATTTTCTACACCAAGAAGTACAGTGTTCCATTTGAAATATCAAAGTTGTTGCGACTTTTTAATAGAAGCGGCAACAGTGCATTATCGAGAATATAAGCAATAAGCATCCACATTTTCATAAATTTATTGCGACTGAGTCTCGATATATAAAGATAGTGTAAACTCGTCCTAACATACCCTATACAGGGTGTATCTAAATAACACCGAGAAAATTCAAGGAGTGATTGTTTGATGAAAATTATGGTGGGTATTCGGTATAAAGTTTTTTTAAAACATCTCCCCGGAAAAGTTGAACCTTCTGAAAATCGAAAAAAAATGTTTTCTGCAATCGGCTCAAAAGTCGTTTATTTTTGTTCCAAAATTAGCTCTTGAAGTTGATGTTTCTCCTACTGACACAATGAAATGATTAGTATGTATGCTAGGCAACACTTTTAGTGTCTTGGAGCTAAAAAGTTGAAGTTTAACTCCTAGGAACTAAAAACGCGAGTATAAACGTGTCGGATGACAACTAATATATTAGCTGCTTTTGACACACATGCTCAAGTGACTCAAATAGTGGTATTTCCACTTATATTCCATTGTTTAGACATCAGTTATTTGGATTGCAGAAAAAATAGCATGTTTCATTCGGATCAAAACTGACCCTGTTTGACTCGCAAAATTTGCGTCTTCGGCTTCGCGGTCGCTCCGCCTCGCAAACGCAAATATCGCTTGTCAAACTAAGTGTCACATTTAATCCTAATGAAACAATGTACTATTTTCATAATTATTCCCCCTGTAAATTAAGGTACAAAGACGCGAAACTTGGTGAATATGATTTCGTGAAATAAAACTACACATTTTTGGAAAGTTTCCAACTTTGAAATATGCTAAGAAGGTGTTGAAATATTCAACCAATAAGATATTTTTTCTTAAAACTTTTCTTGGATAAAATTTAAAAATGAACATGGTAAATGCTTATGATTTCGAAACACCCTTCAGATATGAGAAATTAATTGGGCTTTTCAGCCATGTTTTTTTTTAAAGAAAAATATTCATACAACAAAAAAATTTTGTGACAAAATATCTAAGGGGTTGAATATTTCAACCCCTTCGAAGCATATTTCAAAGTTGGGAACATTCCAAAATGTGTAGTATTTAGACCAAAAGCTATATATGAGCTATCACAAATATTTATTTTCGGATGATTCGCTCACAAAAATCGTCAGTTTTTGTGTTTGTTTTTTTCAATATTGAATACGAAACTGTCAATTTTTGTAAGCGAAACATCCGAAAATAACTATTTGTGATAACTCGTAGGTTTTGGGCAATCTAAAGTTGACAAAAAATTAAATAAAAAATCCAAGCCCGTATTTAAAAAAAATAGTTGAGGAAATTTCGTTTATTTTTTCGGATATTTCCGACAGTATTCGTAGTTTTCAAAGTTTAAAATCGGCATTTTGCTACTAGGTACACTTACGAAAAAAAGAACCAAATTTCCTAAAACCCCTATCATCTTTTTTTTCAATATTTGAAAAAATCAATCTGAATACATGATATACTTTATCATGGTCAGTTTTTCTTACCCACGCGTTGTTGTTTTAAAATTTGAAATCGGACGTTTCCTCTTCCAGAAACCATCATCAACTTGTTATCTTTTTCAAATACGGACCAGGATATTTTGTTCAATTTTTTACATCTTTTGGATATCGCAGAAGCTATGAGTTATCACAAATTATCATTTTCTGATGTTTTATTGTTTACACAAATTGACAATTTCCGTATTTTTTTCAATATTCAATTCGAAACATATTCGAAAATAAGAATTTGTGAGAGCTCATTTAGCATTTGGTATATCCAAAGGTGTGTAAAAATGGAATAAAGAATTCAGGTCCGTATTTATAAAAAATAAGTTGAAGATGGTTTCTGGAAGACGAAACGTCGGATTACAAATTCGAAAACGCCAACTAGCAAGGAAAATAAGTGGCCATAACAAACAAGTATCATTCATTTCGATTATTTTATTCAAATTAACTGAAAAAAAAATGATAAGGGTTTTGAGAAATTTCCGATTTTTTTAGGATGTCCCCGAAAGTATTCGGAATTTTTTTAGGCATAAAACTTTGCCATAATTCAACCGACCCTGTATTTTACGGTTCACGAGATCCCAATGATGAGGCTCTAATAACTTCCAGCCACCCTGTACATAATAAATGAATAGTTTGTTACAAAACTGTTCAGCGCACGCCTATGTGCATGTACTCTCATTATTCGCATGAAAATCCATATAAAAATGTTATATATAACTACATGCTCAGTAGATAAGCACCTTTTTGTATAGATATCGATAAAAACAAGACAAAAACCATCGATTGTAATTAACCTAGTAGATACCTATAGAATATCAGGAAACGAGATTAGAAAAAAAATAGGGTATTCATTACAGCCAAGACCGATGGTTTTAAGTTTCGAAACAAGAAAACTAGTATTAAAATGTGGAGTTAGAAGGTTTCTTTAAATCCCCTTACAAATACGCCTTATCACTCATAGTATACACAGACGCTCTTCTCCTTATCAGTTATAATTATCAATGGTGCCTGTTAATTGGGATACGTCTTTAAACTTTTAAACCAGTGTTTTATTTACTTCTTCCTCAAGGAATTATCTGTGTAACTCTGTAGAGTGCGTATGACACGTTTTATTTGAATCAGTGTGTTTTATTGTGAAAGAATCTAAGTGGAATTTATCTTAGTGTGTACCTGATGTGTTTATTGTTCGGTGATACTTAGTGAAAAGTGGAAATACAGTTTGAAATGTCAAATGCTAACCAGTCCAGTATTCAAACGAGAGATCACTTGTACAAGATATTAGTGATTGGTGATTTGGGCAGTGGAAAAACGTCCATCATCAAACGATATGTGCACAGATTTTTCTCACAGCATTATAGAGCCACGATCGGGGTCGATTTTGCTTTGAAGGTAGGTGGTAGATATACAGTGTGTCCCACTTACCATGCTCACCATGGTATCTTTTTAACGGTGAGAGATACGAGGTCGGCTAAATGACACCAAATGTGGAGTTTGTCAAGGCCAACTATAATGTGGAAAAATATTTTGATAAAATCTATTCGTTTTTGTTTTATACGCAAAAAACAGATTTTTGTCATTTTCATGTCTCCTCCGTAACTTCTTTATTTAAGAAAATATTCAAATAGGAATTTCACATTCTCATGGCAGTTTTTCAAAGTGATTTCGAAAAAAATATGAAATTTATACAAACTCTTCTAGAATTTGAGATATCAGCACTAACTTCAGTTTTTCAAATGTATAGAGGTCATATATAGCTCACTATGACTTAGTGCAAATAACTTTTTTTTCTCTTTCAGATGATATGTCACAGTAATAGTTTTGTGTTGATAACAACGGAGTTATCGTCATTTATACAGAAACAAAAAATTATTTGGAAGCCGCCATCTTGAATTTATGAATTTAAACAAAAAAAACATGATATCCGACCTCAAAAACCCCCGCTTACCAATTTTGAATGGAATCGGACCAAATCTTGTCCGCCATCTTGGAGCAGCCATTTTTTTTAATTTCAACAAAAATTCCATAATGTATTGTCACCGAAATTATGAACACCTGCCAAATTTCAAGTTGATCGGAGTTATGGAATTTTTGTTGAAATTAAAAAATAAAATGGCTGCTCCAAGATGGCGGACAAGATTTGGTCCGAATCCATTCAAAATTGGTAAGTGGGGGTTTTTGAGGTCGGAGATCATGATTTTTTTGTTAAAATTTATGAATTCAAGATGGCGGCTTCCAAATAATTTTTTGTTTTTGTCTAAATGACGATAACTCCGTTGTTATCAACACAAAAATATTACTGCGACATATCATCTGTAAGAGAAAAAAAAGTCATTTATAACTAAGTCATAGTGATAGCTATGGCATACATTTGAAAAACTAAAGTTGGTGCTGATATCTCAAATTCTAGAAGCGAGTTGGTATAAATTTCATATTTTTTTCGAAATCACATTGAAAAACTGCCATGAGAATGTGAAATTCCTATTTGACTATTTTCATAAATAAAGAAGTTACGGAGGAGACATGAAAATGATCAAAATCTGTTTTTTGCGTATAAAACAAAAACGAATAGATTTTATCAAAATATTTTTTCACATTATAGTTGGCCTTGACAAACTCCACATTCGGTGTCATTTAACCGACCTCGTATCTCTCACCGTTAAAAAGATACCCATGGTGAGCATGGTAAGTGGGACACACTGTATATAGGGTGTCCCGAAATTAGCCTGCCATACTTCATCAGTAGCAGATTCTTCGACGGCTGCAAATTTCGACCGTCATCTGATAACGAAATGATATACAGGGTGTCCCGAAATTACTGGGACACAAAGCTACCACGTGTAGAGGAGGTCAAAATAAGTTGATTGGACCCAATTTATTTATGTGGCAAAATGTACCATTTGTCCGTGAGAAGAGGGTTCAAAGTTCACATAAAAAAATACATTTTTGTACGCTGTTCAGAAATAAGTGGAACGACGACTTGGATGAAATTTGGCAATAGTGTATTTCAGAGCAGGATTACTTTCCTTTTGGTAATCGATGAAACCTGAAAGAAGTTGTAGAAGGGTTAAAACCACCCACCCCCTGATATTTATTTCAGATTTTTCTCAGGGGTCATAATACGGTTCTGAAATTTTTTGAGCTTGCAGACTAATCAATTACCTTCATTTTATGACTCGTGTAAAAATTACGTATACCGCATAGTTTCGAACTTGGCAGTGGAAACGAAGGCAAGGCGTGATTTTGACAGGAAACAAATCTATTGTCATTCAAGTGTGTTGTTGACGTTGTCTGAAAATGTTTCAATAAATTCTTCAATTTTTGTTATTATCGCGAGTACCATTACCGACCATTTATTACTATGTATTTGTTGTTGATGTTGGTACTCACACTACATGTATTCTAATCCACATATTGAGTTCGACACTGGTCCATCGGATATTATCTTCAGAAAGTCTCGAAAGTATTGATACGCTCTGCCACAAACTTAGATCCCCGCTTAGATCAGTTTGAATCGCGGCACGTTGGATATTAATTCGCAAAGGGGACACTATCCCTTTTCATTTGCTTTTTGTTTCAACTCGTTATCACATGACGGAAAGTATGTTCGCAATAATAGGAGCAAATAAATCGATGTGTGGTGGATTTAGCTCAGACTGAGGGGTGGCACAGGTAGGTTTTTGAGATCAATTGGTATCGGAATGCATAATTCCCATCTCGTTATGAAATCGCGAAATCGAGTGCAAATATCCGCCCCATGAAAGTGCATTTTTTTAATAATTTTGCTCAGGATTGTTTATTGTTTTATTGTTTATTCAAAAACTAGCTTCCAGTCAGAAATAAAATTCTGGTACGAGGAAGTTGATTACAAACAACAATAATAAAATAATATAAGGTGACAACAACAACACCAAAAAAATCAAAAAAATCTAAAAATGCTAAATCGATCAAGTCATAAAAATAGCCACAGGGACTAATCAGTAGATGGCAAAGTATAAATTTTATCAATTTCGTAATGAAATCATGTGTTTTTTTAATTCAACTTTAAATTTTGAAATATGTCTGCAATTTTTTATATTATGTGGTAATTTATCAAATTCAGCTAGAGCAGCGTGAGTAAATTTTTTTTGGCCAATTATAGAAGTAGCAGAATCAAGATGAAATAAGTTTGATTGTCTCGTGTGATGACCATGAATTTCTGAGTTTCTTATCAAAATGAAATTGGATTTCAGATTATTGTTTATTATATTATATGATACTTTAAGAGAATCTATTTTATATAATTCATCCAATGAAAATTTTTCTGTTATGGTATACAGATCATTTGTTGGGATATCAAATGAGAGGCGATACAATACTTTCAGTGCTTTCTTATAAAGTGCAGATATTTTACTGAAATAATTTTTTGAACAAGATCCCCAAACGTTTATCATATAGGTAATACGACTGAGTATATGAGAATGAAGTACTATGTTTATGACTTTTTTGTCAAGTTTAGGACATCTTCGCAAAGCTCCAATGATCGGAGATATTTTTTGTATCAGAACCTCTATATGCTTGTCCCATTCTAATTTTTCATCAATCCACATACCAAGATACTTTATTTGTGTAGTTCTTTTCAATACTTTATTTTTAATTTGGAGATTGAGACTAATATTCTGTTTATTTTTTTGATGGAATATTATATATTCAGTTTTATTGGTATTAATTGATAAAATGTTTGAATGAATAAGCCATTTTTCAAATTTTTTCAAATCTTCGTTAATAATATTTTCTAGAATGATGGGGTTTTTGTTTTCGTATAAAAGTACAGTATCATCTGCATATATAGTATAATTACCTGACAATCCAATTTTAGAAATATTTTGAATATATAATAAATACAAGATGGGTCCTAGAACAGATCCCTGTGGAACACCTTTACTTATTGGAAATTTATTAGACTCTGACATATTACATTTAGTGCTGCGAATAGTCGCAAGATAAGATTCTAAAAGATTTTTAACAATGCCTCTGAGTCCCATCGAGTTTAAGTATTCTAAGAGATTCTTATGATCAGCTGTATCAAATGCTTTTTTAAGGTCAATGAAAATAGCTACAACGTATCAAGTCCTTCTTGAATTTTTTGTACTACTTGCAGTACTGCTGCTTGAGTACCACTATTTTCTTGAAATCCGAACTGATTATTATCAAAACTATATTTTTTGTTTATGAAATTTACAATACGCTTCTTCAAAATTTTTTCAAATATTTTCGAAAATATGCTCAATATAGCCATTGGTCTGTAATTTTCTGGATCTTCAGCATCCCCACTTTTGAATAGTACCGTGATTGCCACAGGTGCCGTTCGATGAACTACAATGTTTCTACCTTATTCCTTTGGGATATATCATTTCGCTCTCAGATGACACTAGAAATCTGCAGCCGGCTCTCCTACTATAATTGAGGGAACATACGTCTTCCTCAAAGTGGGCTCCTGATGAAGATATGATATTCCCTGAATATTTCAGAAACGCCATGTGATAAAATGGTACAAGAACCAAAATTTCTATGCCCAATGCAGGTATTAAAATTATATCATTCCAGAATATCATTCAGGAGTGTTTAATACAGGGTGATGGGACTACATTAGATATTACTCAAACTTTTTTGTATGAATATATCTTTGGATTATGAAAATCCACACCGTTCTACAGGAAAAAATGTGCTCTTGTTCCGTATCGATCAGCAGAGATGTTTCATTTTCGAGTGGAATCGATTCAAAAATATTGTTACACCCATCACATCTTCTGCATAACGTCAACTTTCAAATCATATACTAAAAATTAGCCTGCCATACTTCAACTGCAGATTTTGCGATAAAAATAAGAAAAAAGCTCTTATAAGCTTGGCTCGAAAAATAATGATGAAATTTGACACATACTGAAAGGAAGATTTAATGCTCAATATAGAACAGGGTAAGAGTTATTCAAGAATTTTACCAGTATATAAGTATAGGGTTACTTATGGATGCTAGTTTTTTTCTCGAGATTTCATGCAAAATTATAAAATTTCAGGGTGTTTTACAGAAGAAATGTACTCTTATCCACTAGCATGCACCGTTTTCAAGTGAAAACCCAACTTCAGGGGCTAACATTCATAAGGGGCTGTAGCTCCTTTCTGAAAAAATTTTCGATCCAAGTTTATATAAATAGGAACTTCTATCCTTAAATATACTGACAAGTTTTATTTTTTATTGACAGAACAACTGAATTATTTACAATATGACTATTGAAGATATAGTAGGTGATAAAAAACATCAAGTAATCAATGATTGATCTTCAACACCCTCCCTCAATCTTGAGACTTGATTCCCAAACCATTAACACAAAACAAGTGTTTGGAAGCATCAA